TATCTCTATTTGCAACTTTTTGAGAAAGCGCCATACCGCTTTCCACAGGGGTTGCACCATTTTACACTCCCACCAACAGTGAATAAGGGTTCCAGAGGAAAACATAATGCTTTAGATACTTCCATTTATAGAATGTCTTGCCAAAGGCCTTTAGTCATCTGAGTAATTCCAGTAATAAGTGGTATTCAAATAAATACCCTTTATCCAAAAGTCACATTTCTTTTTAAGCGCTTCTTTTAGAACAAGCAATGGGAAGCAGTAATAAAAGCCATTCAGTAAGTCCACTGTGAAGATGTGAAGAAATGGTCTCAGCTGGATTTAAGAGGTTGATAACAATTAAATAAATAACAATATTTATCTAAGTCTTACCTGATTAAATTCTGACAGACTTGGCACCCTCCAGTACATCTAAATTAACAAGATTTTAAAAAAAAAAAAAGCCTCAGTTAGTTTCCTGATAGATGTGAAAGCAGCCAGTGTTTACACAGTAAATGTCGGTTACCTCTTATGGCCTAAAAAGTAAAGCTGACTTCGTGATCACACATCATTTCCCAAATATTTACATAAGTCATTTACCAAATACCATTTCACTGCAGGAACTATGATCTAATTAATAGAACCCTGAGTTTGAAACGCCAACATCTAGATTTCAATTTCCCTGCTTGGACAATCCTTGAAAGCATTAGTTTTCACATCTGGAAATCATTTCTGACCCAAAAGATTATTAAAAGGATTACCTGAGACTATATGTAAAGTATCTCACAATGTGGTATATATACTAAAGCTGGTTATTAGTATTTTTAATACCAATCATTAAAACAGAATTCTTGAGAGTCAAGTGACAAATAATAGAAATTGTGATCTATAATACAAGAGACAACTGGTATAGTTATAATTACTATCCTCTGTTATCTTTCTTTTTTATGATTAAGAAGACATTTATCTATTTAGAAGGTTATTATTGTTGTTGTTGTTGTTGTTATGTGCCATTGAGTCACCTGCAATTCCTATGTACAACAGCTAAGAATCCTGCCCTATTCTGAGCCAATCTCATTGTCTCTGACACATCTACTCCCATTATCCCAGTTACTGTGTCAATCAATCTCCTCCAGGGTCTTCCTTTCCTGTGCTGTCCTTCCACCCTTCTAAGCATGATATCATTCTCCAGGGACTGGTCCCTTCTGGCAACAAGCCCAAAGTGTGTCAGACAGAGCTTCAAAATCGATGCCTCCAAAGAACCACTATTTTCACCCTCACCAGTATAGGCCTATTTGTTCCCTTGGAAGTCCGTAGGATATTCAATACTACTTTCCAATACCACAACTCAAAAGCATCTATACTTCCTCTGTCATCTTTAGTCATTTTCCAGCTTTCTGATATATAGTAAGCAATTGCAGAGATCATGACCTGGATCAGATGCAGCTTAGTCCCTAGACTGACATCATTGCTCTTCAGCACCCTGGAGAGGTCTCTGACAGCTGATTTTCCTAATGCAATAAATCTTTTGATTTCCTGACTTCTGTTGCCAAGAGTGTTGATGGTGAAATTGCAAGCTGAAATTGCTAACAATCTCAATTTCTTCTCATCTATCATGACGCTGTCAATTGGCCCACTGGGGTTTCTTGATGTTGCGCTTCAATTCACATTGAAGACTACAGTTTTTTACTTTCTGCAACAAATGCTTCAGGTCCCTCTTAGTTTTGACAAACAAGGTTGTGCCATCTGCATAACACAAGTTGTTGATGAGTCTTTCTCCAGTCCTGATGTCATATTCCTCCTCATAAAGTCCAGCCTCCCAAATGATCTGTTCGGCACGTAGATTGAAAAGGTATGGAGACAGGACACATCCCTGATACACTCCTTTCCTTATTTTGAACCATGCAGTGTTTACTTGCTCTGTTCTAGTGACTGCTTCCTAGTTTAAGTACAGGTTTTATATAAGCAAAATCCTATGTTCTGGGATTTCCAATCTTCTTGAGTTTAGCCACAATTGTATAGTCAAATACTTTTGTGGAGTCAATGAAACACAGATACTAGGCAAGATCCATCTGACATTGACTATGATGTCCCTAGTGCTACAGCCTCATCTAAATCCAGCTTGTATTTCTGGTACTTCTCTGTCAGTGTACTATTCCACTCATTTTTAAATAGTCTTCAGCAGGATTTTGCTTGCTTGTGATAACTTCTACACTCCACTGGATCACCTTTTTGTGGAATGGGAACAAATATCAATCTCTTCAAGTCAGCTGGCCAGGTAACTGTCCTCCAGATTTCATGGCACAACGTGGTGAGCACATTCAGAGCTATATCTGTTTGCAGAAATATGTCAATTGTTATTCCATCAATTCCTGGGGCCTTGTTTTTTGCAAAGCCCTTCAGAGCAATTTGAACTTCCCCTTTCATCACCACTGCCTCTTGATTATTTACTGTTGGATATGTTCTTGGTATGGTGACTTTGTTCTTCTTCCATACTTAGGTACTGAAGAAGTTCTAGCAGAGAACTCTAGTTGTTACCACAGTGGAACAGAAGTTCATCACTTACATTACCCTCAATTATTCAGAAACTTGTATTCAGATATTTTACTTCTTCCTGTTTTAGCCTTTTAGGAATTTCTTTTCTCAGAAATTTCATTTTAGCAAGTTTAAAATAAGAAGAAAAAGAAAATTATAAAGCTACAAAAGAATATGAAAGAGTTAGCTAAAGAGATAATGTTTTATTCCTTTAACTCTACTATAATGAAGCAAATGAAGTGAAAGCAACAATTTTGAGAAATCTGATTGGAATCTAAAGGACAAGCGTTTAGAGGAAATATAGCCAAGTGTCTCAATTTTTTTAAAATATTTTAATTTATTTATTTTTCATTTCAATGAACATCTACAGAGATTTTGGAATTCCATTCATTCATTGTTGCACCCTTCTCCCCGCCCACCACACCTCACCCCAGCCCCATCCCTCAACTTTTTTATAATCCTACAAAGTAAGAGACTGGTTCCCACACACACTTCATAAAATGTAGTATATCTTAGATTATACAGAAATAATAGTCATTGATACAGTTCTTGGTTAATGACCTGGAGTTTATCCATTTTGTGAGGTTCAAGAGAGATAAGATGATTTTTTGTGAGGTTCACGAGAGATAAGATGATTTTACATTTGCAGAAGGAACTGTGTGAACTTAATCTGCCTTCCATTTCAGCCAATGTCACATTACAAGGTGCCATAAAAGATAAAGGAACAAAACAAGGTTACACTGGCATTCTGAAAGCACATAAAATGAAAATTTCCTAACATAGGGCTTACAAACCACAGGTAATTCACTAAGGGTGGGACTTGTAAATATTTAACAAAGGGAAGGAGCAAACTGCTTTAACTATCCCCAAAAGACTAGAGTTTTAAGGATCCCACCAAAACAACTATCATAAAACTGGAATTTCTAAGCTTCAAATGAATATAAGACAAGTGGACAATAAATATAAAAATAGTGGCTCCTCTAAAATATTGCCCTTCATTTTTCTTATTTATTTAGATGGAATATTTTCTACCATCCAATCTTAATTCATGGACCCAGTTACCCTGGGGGATTTTCCATAGCTCTTTTCCCCCGTCTTTCACTGGCTGTTTTAAACTTGATTCTACAAATAGAACCTTCACAGGCTTGCCAAGAACTTAGAGGTCTCAAACTCAAATCATTCCATTTTGACTGACTGCTTTTCCTCCATTAATTCACTCAACTGATATTTCTCAGCACCAGACATTGTCAAAGGCACTGAGATTGAGGTGAGGCACACAGGACAAGGTCTCTGCTCTTACCAAATTTACTACAATGACAATATATTTCCTCTATAACATTTTAAAAGATTAATTAAAAAATAGACAAACACATTTTTCTAGATATATCTCAGAAGATGTGCAGCCAAGATGCTCTTTAAAGGCTAAGATAGTGAGCCTTTCTTCTCACATGCTTGTGCATATAGGGTGCCAATTCTTGGAAAAGCACACCACATTGGTAAAGATGGAGGGTCAAAGACAGAGAGGGAACGTGTCAATGAGATGGATTAACAAAGCAGATCCTACAGTGGACTTAGGCTCAGAGGAGACTGTGAAGAAAGTTCAGAACTGGTCAAGGTTTCATCCTGCTGGACATAGGGTTGATTCACTGAGTTTGGGTCAACTTGGTGAGACCTAAAAACAACAGCAACTTTTATAGATGTTATCAAATCGTCTAACCAGCAACATCTGTAAGGAGTTTTATACATATTCCCCAAGTAAATGTTTATTTTTTTAAGTTTTTTTAAATTAAAATTTATACCTGTGAGGGTCTTTTGAGCTGGGTATGACTTTACTGCATTCTCTCTTGTTGAATACTCCTTCAATCCAGGATTTCTGGGACTGAACAGAAAGTGTTATTAGCGTAATAGTCCAAGTAAGCAAAAAGGCAGTGTAACCACAGTGGCTCTGATATGCAAGGTGTACTTAAACATCATAGCCATGATAACGAGTTAAGCGGTAAGAAGCTGCGCTGCAATCCCAAAGGCAAGTGGTTCAATCCACCAGCCACTCTGAAAGAGAAGAATGGGAAATCTCCTCTTGTGTTATTTACTGCCTCTGAAAACCCTCTGGAGGGTCAGCTAAGAGTCACAACAACAACAACAACAAATCATCTACTGGCTTCTATTACAAATCAAATAGGCACTCATGAGCCAAAAGGAAACTTAAACACATTCACAAAGTTAACAGATCTCACTATAAGTGACAAAACTCCTCTACATACTCACCTTAGCAAAGAATTAATGATATTTCTGTTAGGTATGTGTTCTATTAAACATGCTAAAAGTTACTTTTGACTCTTTCAGTTTTAGCTCTTACCCCATAATCCTGAGCAAAAATCAAATTCCCAAAACTTCAAAATTCATACTCAGAAAATCCTACTTTCGCTAAAATTCCACAGGAAGCTGGAGAGATATATCAGAGATGAAACCTTAACATCAGTACACATTCTGTAAGTTTTACTTGACACTGAATGTTGTGCTTCAAATTGCACAGTTTACAGCTGTCCTGACTTCCAAAAGGGACTCTGGTTCCTACTCCTCCTTCCAAAAATATCTCTCCCCTTGTACAAAACTCACATAACGACCAAATTCTTTCATTAGTCATACTGCAAGTCAACTGATGACAATGATTTTCTCTTAAGAGAAAAATAATACTTTTGGTTATAACTTTATTGATACATACGTATTACAGTAGACATAAAGGAAGGTATACAGCCTACAAGGGGGCTTTTTCAAACTTCTTACTGGTGCAAAGATATTCAAACCTCACTCCTACACCTGTTCTCATTTTAACATTGATTGAAATATGTCGTGACAGAAAACACATGACAAATGTAGCTGTGGAACCTTACTGTGAAAGGAGCTGATACAATGTGGGGGTGGCCAAGTCTAACTTCTACCTGCTTCATAAAGGGGACTGTCCCCATCAATAATTTCCATTGTACTAAACAAGTGGCTACATGGTCAGACATGCCACCTCTTATGCTCCTGCACCTAGTTCTACCAATCATAAGGTCCAATGTTCATTGCAAATTGACTCACAGACTTAAGAGACTTATTAGATTTGGGGAGTGGAAGGGCGAATAATATCACACAATTCAAGTTCAGGTTTTGTCCAACAGTCTCAAACCAGATTAACAGCAAGACACAGTTCTTCAAATGGTTCAGACAGCTTCTCAGTCAACAAATTAAAGTCTGGGTTCTGTAAAGCAACACAAACAAACCTCTGGTTTCCTCAACTATAAGCTTTATCTCAGAGCAGTTACAAGTCAGCTTTTCCTCTAATTATCAAGTACGCAAAACTTAACTGTGGCTCCAACTCAAGGGTTACACCTTGCCACAGTTTCTACATAATCAACCACAATCTCCTCACCATCTCTCCACCACCATCCCTCACAGTGTCTTCTCAGTTCCTTTCACCACCATCTTCCACAGTGTGGAAAGCATTCTCTTATATTGGTCCCACAGCTGTTGATGATTTGCAAGGCCATGTGTCCTCAGTTAAGGTAACTAGATACTTTGCTCTCCCCCCGCACCACCACCAGCGGAGGCTAATGCAGTGGATAGGAAAGCCAGTTTTCAAGGGTTCTGACACCACACTCACTCTGATGTTTTCCTCAGGTCTCCAGATAATTAACAAAAAAGGACATTCATAAACAAATCCTTTATATACATCAATTAAATTCTTGCCGATTTTGTTCAACAGGCACCAATACTGATGCATAACACTGTTCACTAATGAGTTGTTGCTGTTACTACTATCAAGTCAGCCCTTGACTCCATGCTCAACAGAATGATGCACTATGCTCCTATAACATCCACATGGTCAGTTCTGTCAGGACCATTCTGATCTGTGGAACTTTCATTGACTTATTTTTCAGGAGTAAACCATCAATACTTTTACCCTAGTCTGTCTTAGTCTGGAGGCTTCACTGAAGCCTGTTCAGCATCAGCAACACACATGGTTCCACTGACAGGTGAATGGTGACTGTGCAGGAAATGCTTCGGCAGGAAACAGGTCTCCCACATGAAATTCAGGAAGTCTACCACTGAAGTCAATAACCATAGTCCAAACCTTATTAAACAAAAGACAAGACAAAACAAAAGCACAGAGATTGATTGATGGGTTCCTATAAATGTAAAAGTGTTGTAAACAGGGAAAAGTTCCTGGATCAAAGTCAAACATTCTGAAGTATTTGACCCATTTGTCCCTTTTGTAGGCCAGGAACTTTTCTATATATCTTAATATATTCAGTAAATTGACAAAACACTAAAAGCAGATGAACTTGAGAAAATCCAGAGTCACAGAATTTAAAATGACAAGTAGCTACGTGAGGCTATTCTTTGTATATCCAAAGGGAAAGATGGAAGATGATTCCCTTTGGATCTTATAGTGGGGCTACTCCTTGTATATCCAAAAGGAAAGATGCTTGTTAAGATGGAGGGTCAGCAAAGGAGAGGAATACCTCCAATGAGATGGATTGATACAGTGAGTTCAGCAATGGGCTCCAGTGTGTCAGAACTGATGAGGATGGCACAGGATAGGGGAGGGTTCAGGTCAGCTCTTCATAAGGTCAGCACGTATTCAACTCAACAAACAGAGGACTTTTTATGTTCACTTATTACAAGAAATGACACAATACTTTAGAATTAATAAGTCTGTTCTGGAAGCTATTCAATTATAATTTCATTCACTAATTCATTATCAAAACTTTTTTTTCAAATCATTAGGAGATGTGTTAAACACAAGTTAGTATATCCTCAAAGAGCCTTCAAATGTCTGAATCTATTAACTCATTCAAGAAATACTCTGAGTGAATAAGCAAAGCACTCCTTAAGAATAGAAGAA